TCACAGAGGAGACCAGCGTTTCTCAGCTTAAAGGTCTTGACACAAAAAGGAGTTGCAGGGGAGGTCACAAGATGATTTTGAGTGGATTGTGCTTGCTTCTGTGCTGAGAGTGGCACTCAGGTCTAAAGGGAGTACCCTACCAGCATGTAAAGAACTACAGATAGCCATACCGCACCATGCCACCCTTACTTCTGCGTTGCTGTCTTCAGAGCTGGCTAGCTGTAGAGTGACGGTTGCTGACTGAGGACCAAGCTCTGCAAGCAGCACCACCGAACTAAGCATAGTAGTATCATAGCATTCCATCCTTTCTTCTGCGCTGCTGCTAACAGCAGCTCTGCCTTCAGAGCTGGGATCCCATCAAGCAGCTGTCACTTTCCAGGTGCCCAGCCCTGAAGGCAATGCCAGCAGCAGCATTGAAGTATAGCAGAACTGTAATCTAAGGATGTCAAATATCGACTAATTGACTAATCGAATAGACAATGCATTTTGCATCAACTATTAAATTAGTCGATAGGACACCTCCGCCTTTGAAGTGTAGCAACAGCCCTAGCCTTAGCGACCCAAGAACCGCTGGGTAAATGTGCTAGCATTTTATAGTTTTTAAATATTCATGTATGGCATCTTGAAGGAATGCACTCTGAGTCATTTATTTAAAAGATATACCAGGAAGTAAAGATGGGTGGAGTCCTCTATCACTGATTCCACACCTGGCAAAAAACATTTTATTCATCTGTATACAAAACTATGAATATGTAATAACCTGTCTTGCAACATTCAGGGTAGCACATGCAGCTTCAATATTTTGTGAATTGGAGCTTAACTGTAACATTTTAATTGATTTTTTTGCTTTTAAATATAAGAATAAGATGTAGATACCACTATAATGTCTCTTAACTCACACACCTTACAGAGAAATAGCCGTGTTAGTCTGATCTTGGTGAAACCAAAAAGCAGTCATGTAGCACTTAATAAACCATCTTGTTAAGTTTTTAATTAGATTATGAGCTTTCGTGGGGCAGACCCACTTCTTCAGAAGAAGTGGGTCTGCCCCACGAAAGCTCATAATCTAATAAACTATCTGGTTAGTCTTTAAAGTGCTACATGACTGCTTTTTTTGTTTTACCAAGATCAGACTAAGTCGGCTACCTCTCTGTAATTCTTACAGTGGTCACCTGAGTTCCAGTGCCTTCAATAGAGTTTTGCATGAGTACAGACTGCAGCACTGATCCCATCATCTGAGATTCATTTATTCATTTGTGACTACCTGCCACAAACAGGAATCCAAAATGTTATCCAAATGTGGTTTGGGGGGATACCTGATTCTCAGTGATACAAATCTACCCTCTAGTGGCTAAAGTACATAAATATATCTGTTCAGATTCAGACACAAAAGCTGATGCAAAAGTCCCTGGTTCTGTCTCTTCAATGAATGTTCTGCC